TAATTAAATGATCAAATATCATGTTCACTTAAAATGAATCCCAAAGATACAGGGAACGTTCCATTCATGACAGCCAATTAACATGATACAGCACATTAGTGAGGGTGGCAATCTCAACATGTATTGGAAAAGCATTTAATATATGAGTAAAACAAAACAGACATTGTAGGGTGTCATGACAGTGAAATAAAGGATATGTACAAAATTGTACAGCTAAAATAATAATCAATCAATAAAATTCAAAATATTTTCAAAAAGGTAGCAATACTCAGTTTTCCTATTGTTTTCACCATGTTATTCTAGATCTAGTCAGATTAACTAAAAAAAGAAAAGAAAAAGAAAAAAAAGAAACGTGGGACAGAGGGGAAGGAGGGAGCTGGGCCTCTCCATGTCAGCTTCGTCTGTATCCCATCATGTTCTAGGCCCCCTACTTTTGTTTTCACTTTCCAGTTGCTGTGACATAAACAGGCTGAGGAAGAAAGGCATCTCACACTTTCATGGAGTATATCATTCACTCTAAGTATGGATTGGCTTTGCTTATAGATTATAAATTAGAAAAAGGTAAATCAATGAAAACATCTACTCCAGAGACTTTTTTTTCTGAATCTTAGACTTTATATGAATAGGAATTCTGTAGGATCCCAGTGTATTCAAGGGACATATAGATCAAATATTCTGAACGTGTTCTGTTTTCTTTTATTGTTGCTACTAAGAAATGAGTAGATATAGGTGCCAATGGCATGTCTATAATATCTCTCTCGGAAGCTCAGAAGAAGGAGACAAAGATTTGGAAGATGTTCCGATATATTCTTTTTCTACAGATGGGTAGTATGTACCAAGTCTCCCCTACCACATGTCCTTGGCCATTTGGGTATCTTTGGTCCATGGACTTTAAGAAAGGAAAATCTTTTTTCTTTCTTTTTTTCTACACAAGGGCCTGGCCTAAGTGGCCTCTGTTGGGAAATATGTAGTAACCAACAGGGTAGAAAGTTTCCACAGTCAAAGGTGAGCTTGGCATGGATTGAGAGTTAGATTGTTTTTCAATGTTATAAATTTAGTGTTTCCTAAGTACTTCACAATTCCTGCCATTACTGTCAATAAAGGAAGCATAGTCAGGAAAGCCTCCAGTGGCAACAGAGAGGCCCACCAGGCAAAGCAGAAACCCCTCATTGTCAGGGCCAGTAAAGCAAGAAAGTATTAAACACAGAGACCCTGAAGTCAGACTGCCATGTTCTAAGTACCTGGAAGGATTAGCTTTGGTACTGGCTTCCTATCTTTGAGTAGGAGTATGTAGTATCTAATTTTACTGTCTCTGGTCCTGATTTTTCACCTCAGATACCATGCCCTTGGTCTGCCATTGGCCTGGTCCCTGGGGCCAAGCAATCTCCAAAAAGGTAGATGATACTGTTAGTAGCTAAAAGTGTTTTTGCGAAAAGACCATTTTTTCTTCCAAATGGATACCCCTGCTCCACCAAGGGCAGCTTTACATATCTCTTCTTGAAGATCTACATTCTCTTCAATTACAGGTGACTGCTATTACAGGTGCTACTTGTTACAACTTTGAACCCTTGTCATGATGGTTGTATAGTGAGATCTAATAGGGAAGGTAGAGATGAACAGCCAGTTTCTGTTGAGCAATTGGCAGAATAGTTGGCAAATATCAGTGGCCCGAATGAAGGCCAGCCCTGTCTGAAACCTTGTTGGTCAAATCTAAAAGTACCCATAGCCTGCATGTAACTTTTTTCAATTGGGTGGCATTAGACTCTGGGCCAAGTCACAATTATCTCCTGAAAGGCCTACAGCCTGTTCATCTGGGGACCAGATAGGAATTTGATGGGCACCAGAGGGAAGCCTGGGAGGGAGGGCCAAGCCTGCCCATCAGCTTTGGCTAATAAAGGGCTAGGAGACCTGGTTTTATGAAGGTTCTGATGGAAGTTGGAGTCCATTGGGATTATCTCGGGGTCATTCAGGTGATATTTGTGTGCTTCTGTTCAGCTGGGGCTGAAGAATTGGCTGTGGCTAATATGAGACCAGTACTGTTGAGATGAATCCTCTGGAAAGTATTTCTTAAGACTCAGCACACAAGACTACCATCCAGAGGACCAAAGGCCATTTGTAAACCAAACTTGGTAATGTGTAAGAATCTCCCACATGGTATTGGTTTTGATGGCACAAAAGCCAAAGGAAATGCCAGGATTACGTGATGAGCAGATGTGCTGTGTGTGCTGCGAATGGCAGAGCTAGAGAAACAGAGCTGCCCAAGTCTGCAGAGCTGCCAAGATCAGAGTGAAACCTAGATACTGGATGTTGTGCTGTTTACAATGGGGGACTTTCATTTTGCTGTGTTGTGGTTCTGTGCCCTGGTTCTCTCTTAGCACTGGAATTAATAATCAGAAGATTTCTGCAAGTGACTAAAATTTCTGAGTTGGTAGGTAGATGGGTCCTAGAATGAGGAGATTCAGTCTTAACTCTTGAGCTCTACTACTAGGTCACTGGGCTAATGAACCTCATCCCGTCTCCCTTCTTTCTGCATCTGGCTGTATCTTTAATACTGTGACTGATCATTAGATCATGTGAGGCTGGTACAGAACAGGACCTATCACATAGGTAAATGGGGCTTCTGGTTTCCCTCAGAGCTTGTATGATTCACGAAAGAAGGAAAATGGGAAATGGTAATGGACAAAGCCATGGAAAAAATGTGGAAAGCCCATTCTTAGCTTGACCTCTCTGGGGGACAGACTAGACCACACTCTGCTGACTGACTGGACATGTGCATGCAGATGAACTAAGGAAGGAAAGTAAGGATAAACAAGTCTCACCCAGGATTTCTCCATTTCTCATTATCTGATTGAAGATGGGACAAACTGGTTCTAATAAAAAGATAAATAAACCACTCAGAAGCCTTTTGAAACACTAGGAAGAATTCGAATGACATCCTCAGACACTCAAAGAAACAAACAAAGAGATAACAACAACAACAATAACAACAAAACACATGACTTTATTTCTTTTTCACAAGAATCACGAAGAAAATAACTCTTCATTAGGACACTGCAATTATGTTTCTATTGTATTTTTAAGTCTGACTTTAAATAGATAATATTTAATGATATATAACCTTCTTTGATTGCTACTATAGAAATAGAAAATGTCATAAAATTATGATTTCACAGTAACTGTTAAATCCTATATAATTTTTAAATTGATGTAAATTACTATTCCTTTTATTGACACTAGGTATTGAACTCGATAAGGGGCTAGTCTTTAGACGTGATGAAGAGAGAAAACTTCCTTGACCCGCACTAATGAGTTCTGATCGATACAAAATTCCTAAATCCATCCTCATTAGACCTTGCTGATAATCTCTTGGGAAGGATGAAGAACAGTGACTGCCATTTTCAGGTACTCACTATATATGGGCATGTAAGCAGATTTGTCTCAAGTCCAAGAGAACCTTGAAGACAAGATCATCCTCTGGCCTCAGTGGTACAAAAGATGAGGAGGAAGAGATGATAAATTTTGTCTAGCTGCAATGTCTTAACCAGTAAGAAAGTATAAACAAAACTTAAAATGATAGGTATATTCAATAGTTCACAGATTCATACTGCCAAATATTATAATGGCTCTAATCTATATAAGATGTTCCGTAGATAACTTTTATTTACTAGTTAATTATCCTTGATAAGAAAACTAACGCCCAGATAAAAGACATCAGATCTCAACATAGAGTAGCACTTACTTACAGCCAACAGAGATGGACCTATTATTGTTTTAATGATGACCAAATATCTAGAAGCCATATGTGAAGGATGTGTCTATTCTATTTTAACAACTCTCAAAGAGCCTGAAATCCCAGGTTCATCATTCTAGAGATCAGCCATAAAACAGTAAGATGTTATCAAAAGATAATTTGGAGCCTATCAAGATATTCTAGTGGACTTTGCTTTGAACATTTAAACCATACTGTTTCGGCTTCTGGTTCCCTGCCTAGGACTTGTACTGTTAATAACTTTTGCTTTTACTTTTCCCTCAGATTCCTTTCCAAACACTAGGCATGAGGAACTTTATCAAAGAAGTAACAATATGAGGACCTTGGACATTGGTGGTGATCTGGAAAGAATTGAAACTTTTTGAGCAACAGTAAATAAACAAAAGCAAGAGAAAACCAAAAGTGTAAAAAGTCAAAGTGCAATTTAAAAAACAAATAAATTGCAAGAGCTAAAGAATGTAGTAGGACATTTTTCTGCTACATTGTATTTGCAGTGGAGCTTGGTGATTGGACAGTAGAAGAGGTAGGCAGAGTGAGGAGTTGGGAAGAAAAGAAGGGAGAGGAGAAAGAAAGAGGGAGAGGAAGCAACATGGAGGAAGAACCATGGAACTCTTGCAGTCTGGGGTAGCAATTTCTATCAAAAGTTTAGCTATTGGGTAAGAATTTTAATTGGTTGGGCATCTTGTGTATTGAGCATTTCCAAATATATAAATACATTGGATAATCTTTAAGCATTACAAGTCTTTATTCTACTAGGAACCGCAAGCATGGGGGTACTGTCTGGGGCTTAGCAGAGAACCATGAGGGCGATGTGGTTGGCCCAAGATCCATGCTTTGGGGCATGGTCACTATGGAGCTGACTAGCAGAGACAGCAGTTATGTTAACATCTCGTGGGTGCCAGGGCTGGCGCTTATAGCTAGCCGGAGCCACAGTGAGAGCAGGAACATGGAGGCTACCAGGGAACAAGCTGGACTGAGCTCCATTTTATGAATATCTCCCATTACCAAAGAATTCAAGCTAGGAGCAGCAGAAGTGTGAGGCAGAAGCATCTCAAATAGAACAACACAGTAGCAATGGAAAGCTATAAACATGCAACTAGGAAGAGAATTACACAAATGAATCAGGCCCAGTTATAGACCCTCAGCCACAAATGTGAATGAACCACCAATAGGAATGTTCATCAAAATGAATTAAACATTAGGTCATAAGTAGAAAGAATATATTACTTACCCGGTTTATACTGTTGTTCCCTAAAATAGCCTGGAGTAGAGTTTTTTCAAATTCTTCCAACTTCTTAGAACATCTTTTAAAAATATGATTTGATAAATTAAAATCACTCGCCAGTCTGGCTAATGTAGCAATAGCCTCTGTCCAGAAGCTTGAGAAAGGGAGTTTGAGGTTCTGGTAAAATGTGATCAGGCCATCTAACAACTGTGAAACTGAATCAGAAACTGTTGAAGAGTCTTTTTCAAAGTGGGTTAAGTACACTTTCAGATTACTGGACTCTGTCCATTTCTTCAGTTCCAGCAGATGTTGAAAGAACTGCATGTGAGAAGACAGAGGAATTTCCAGTGGAGGGCACGGCTTTTTCTCTAGAGGCAGTGGGAGACCGAGTGGGGGATAGCTGCTCTCCACAAAATGCTGGGATAATTCTGTGGGTTCACTTCTTTGCTCATTTGATAAAACACATCCGGAGTCATCCATCAAAGTCAGTGTATTTTCGGAACTTGTTGGTTCCTGATCTGACAACATGGGGAGGGCATCATGTCCTGAAACAGACGCAACAGAAGGAGTATCTTAGGATAAAGTCTTAGGCCTTAGGTCTAGATAGCTACAGGTCGTAGGAACTAGACAATGATTACGATCTAAATGAAAATACTTCATAAAACATGCAAGTGTGTATAAACATTTAGCAAACTGTAAAAACTGCATAGAGGCAAAAACCAAACTATTGCTTAGTTTGGCTAAAGAAATAGTTTTTATATTTTCAGATGGTAACTCTCATTCATCTACAAGTATGTTCCTAGAAAGTCAGTCACTCCGAGCTTTCTCCTCCATGCAGAACAGAAATAGGTTTTTTTTTAAAGACTCGTTTTATTTTTAATTATTTGTATGTGTATGTGGCTGTAGAACTCAGTGCAGTGTGCGGAGGGGAGGCCACACGTGGACAAGAGATCCCTCTGGCTGAAGTTACAGATGGTTGTGGGGCACATAATGTGGTTCCTAGACACTTCGCAGGAGCAGCAAGTGCTCCTAACCCCTGAGCATCTCCTCATCCCTAACCAGCACAGTTTTGAAAGGAGTAATCTCTATCCATGTGTGTGCTAGAACAGAGCAGTACTCCTGGCTGCTTCATTTTAATAGCCTTAGCCAAGTGTCAAGGGAACACATGTTAAAAATGACAATATCAAAAATTAGACACAGAGAAGACTCCTCACAGTGCACGAGGATCGTGATGAAGTTTGACATGGTACATATTACAGTATTAAAGTCATATCATCAAACTCAATGAAGGAATAATAAAATTAATCATATACAAAGTATTTTCAAAGCAATACTAGAAGATATATTGCTACGATGTCCCAATTTGCTAACAAAAAATATAAACTCAACGTGATTAAGAAAACTGTCAAAAGCTGCATAATAAGAGTTATGGCTACCTATGGCTGTACCTGGAATTAATTAAAACCCAAGCAGCTGGGCACACGTGAGAGGAATACTTCAAGGTTGAATTGGAAATCCACCCTAATTCTGGATCACCTGAGGTCATAGGACCCACTTTAAATCTTGTGTTTCCATGGGAACTCCTGAATACCCTCATTATAGTATAATATATCATAGTAATATACTTTATAGTATGTATAGTTTAGTATACTATAGTATAATACCGAATAAACTTAACCAATGGATGAAGACCTATGAAAATACATAGTAAGACATAAGAGGATACTAGAGCAGTGTTTCTTAACTTGAAGGACTCTTTCACAGGGGTCGCCTAACACCATCTGCATATCAAATATTTGCATTATGACTCATAACAGTAGCAAAATTACAGCTATGAAGTAGCAATGCAAATAATTTTATGGTTGAGGGTTACCAGAACATGAAGATCTATATTAAAAGGTCAGAACATTATAAAGGTTGAGAAACATGCACTAGAAATATAGTAAGATCTCCTACAATCATAGATTGGCAGAATAATGTTAAAATGATTATATTAATGAAAGTAATCTTGATTAATGCAATTTCCAATAACATGCTAGTAATTTTCTTCTTAGAATGAGATAAAAATAGAGAAGCATAGAAGACTCTAAACTAGTGGTTTTCAACTTGTGGGTCAGAATCCATTTGGGGGTTGTATTATTGTTTATATTCATAACAATATCAAAATTACAGTTATAAAGTAACAATGAAATAATTTTATGTTTGGTGGTCACAACAGATGAGAAAGTATATTAAAGAGACACAGAAATAGGAAGTTTTGGAACCACTAAAAGCAGTCATATATCCAAGCAGAAAGAGGAATGCTAGAGACATCTCGATCACTATTTCAACCTATCCTTCAGAGCCAGAGTAGCAACACTATATGGTAGTGATTCAAAATCAGACATGTGAAAAGAACAGAGGCACTAAATAGAAATCCTCACAGTAACATCCAGAGGACTTTAGATATGATGTTTAAAATATACATTGGAGAAAAGGTAGCCTTTCAAACAAATGAGGCTGAAATCTAAGTATGTGCATAAAGAAATCGAAGTGATATCCTTGTCTCTCACTCGGTATACAAGTCAATCTAGATCCCCCCCAAAACAAAGTCACTTAATATAAGATTTAAAACATTGAAACTATTAGATAAAATCTTAAGAAAAACTCTTAAAGATATAACCATAATCAATGATTCTAAGATCTCAGAAAATAACAGCAAAAATGAGTGTGAGATTGTATGAAACTAAAAGGCTTCTGTACAGTAGATGTAACAACAACAACACTGCAGCCAAAATCGCTGAGTAAATAGAAATCCTTCTGAATGCAAGGACCAGTTTTTAATTTACTCTTACGTTGAAGTACTGAAGATAAGTGCTTTCAAATTTGATATATATGATCATCCTAACATGTTTATCAGTGGATTTAATAGAGATAAAATACACATAAACAAATTGATATTGCACTCTGATGAACATTATATACTCGATAAGTATAAACTATTGCTATAAAATACTAGCACGTGAAATTTACAGTAAAATATGTATCTTATACACAAGTACAGAGAATTAGCTCTTAAGTGAAAGCTGTAACAAGTACTACTTACATATTCTCTCTACAAATTCTGTGTGTCTCTTCTGCATACTGAATCCCACATTCTACTTTATTTTGCTGAACCACAAACCTTCATAGTGATTTTCTGTTTTTAAATTTTAACTTAAATCCATTTCATATTTTAAAATAAATTTCAAGTATATGCAACAAAATAGAGGTACCCCCTGTTATATATCCTACCCTAGAAATGTCCACTGTTGGTTCAAAAGATGAACACATTTTATTTCCATCAAGCATAGTTAAATCAAGTTTTGATGCCTTATCTCACTATTTCTATAGTCCTTACAGCATCCCTAAAATTACATCCAGATCTAACTGTTTCAAGGAACATATTCTGTATTCTCTGTAAGCCCCATGAAGTTTATGATTATCAAACTGAAGAAGTCTTTATACACAGACATAGAGATAGTTTATATCTTTAACAGCTGATTTCACTAATCCTGTCAGTAGGTATGAGATTGTAAACCTAGTCTCCTTTCTTCCCTCTGCTCTACACAAAGAGGGAAATACCCTATTACACTCATTCTACAGTCTCAACATGTATTAATCATGTTTCTACAAAGAAACACACACAATTTGGTGTGTGTGTGTGTGTGTACGTGTGAGAAGAGGACCAATTAGGGAAGCAAGACATCCCAAGATATTTAATGGGCAAGATGAACACCCAGAAAAGCCAAAGATGTAAGTTCTAGTCCAAACATGGGTGGGCTGTAGCCCAAAGAATTGATGGCTCAGATTGAGTATACAGGAAAGAAAAGACCCACGTTTCTCCAAATGTCAGAAGGAATGGAGGAAATGCTTCTTACTAGAAGAGAATCAGCTTTCTTTTCTGGTCACGCCCTTGTCCTACTGGATGAGGCCAACCCAATCTGCTATGCCCAATCAACTGATACAAATCATCTCACCACAAGGGTAGAGTGCTTAGATACCTGAACTGAAACTTAAAGTTAATATTCAAGGCATCTTTGTCTAGGTCCTCCTGTAATTACTTCCTTACGTTGATCCATACCACTGTCATCTTTTGAACAGTTTAATGCAACATCTTCACCTACATGATCAATCAGCCTCTAGTTCAGCCCACAACTAGGATACATTCACTAAAGCACCACCTTTAGAGCCATCTGTTTTGAAGAAATGCTCCAGATACTTCTCTCATTCTCTATTCTACACTACAGAATAGACATCTCCGAGGTGCTCAGTACACAAATTCTACCACTGTTTACACATCCCTATCTCTTTACATAGTTACCTTCATCTTCACCCTCATTTTTTACTTGTAACAATAAGCCATATAGTTCATGAAAACATGAGACACTATGCCACAGAACTATGAATTTTCATATACAGTTCCCCAGATGAATACTTACTTTTTCTTCAAGTCCAGCTTCATATATTCAGTGAAATTTCCAACTTCTCTCCAGGCTGAGAAAAGCCTTATATACACTTCATTACTACTCACTTCAACTGTTTTAATATATTAGTGACTTCACTCTGAAAGAAGTTCATTTGCATATTTCTGCAGCTTGGTACCTGCCTCCCATGTGGTTGGTCATTTGAATATTTGTCGGAAGAATCACACACACACACACACACACACACAATGATTGAGTCAAGTAACATTCATTCAATTCAAACATACTCAGCATAGGCATGTATAATTTAACCCTTCCAATTATTACTTCAAATCATTAATAATCATTATTCCATCATATACTCACGTATTGACTAACGTAAAAGTTATGTTTATGCCACCTTGTGGTCAAATAGCAAATGTTATTAAAGACCATTTCATAATGCCATTTTAATACCATTTTGTATTTATAAGAAAATTACATATATGTCCCCTTTCTCCCTCTAAACTTTACCATAATCCCCCCTTCTCAAATTTATGTTCTCTTTTAAAATATATATTTATGTGTATATAAATATTTTTATATATTCATATATAATATATTGTAATTATTTACTTATATGTAATCTATTTACATGTGTAATTTATTTATATATAATATATACGAAAATATTTATATATTTTTATATATAAATAAAAATTACAAAAATATACATGTACACACACACATATATACAACCTGCTCAGTCAACGTATTTATAGTATCTCAAGGCTAAGAACTTGGTAAAAGATAATCAATAGTTTGAAGACTCCTAACAGCAATATTTCACTTAAAATCAAGTGTTCGCTTCTTCCTCTAGGAAGATATATTTTAGCATATGACAGAACACATGCCAGATATATTGACAAAGAAAAGGTTTCAGCGTACTTTGCCCAAGTATACCAACATACATCACCATCCAAACTCTGGATATACAAAAAAGAGGGAAATACCATATGCACAGAAATAATGCCAAATGGAATGATTTCTCTTGACTGAAGTGTCTTTTCTGAATGTAAACAAAACCTGTATCTGTGAACCAACTTTATCCTAGGCAATGT